AAACCATCCGGAATGAAAATTAAGCAGGGAGATAGAAAATGGTACTCTATGATTTGTTCAATTTCTCAATCTCTTAAGGTGGTGAGAAGCGTGTTGTCACGCCCAGAAATTTAGCCCAAATTTCTAGACTATTTTGTGTATTAAATCCCTGTCTAGGACCAGCCAGGGTAGACAAAACGACAAGTAATATATAGTTCCAAACGTACATAAAGCGTAAAATACTTACAGGAGAGGCTCTTAGTCCTCGCACCGAAAAGGAACGACAGCAGCGGAAAAAGGCGATCCTAGCGGGGCTTCAGCTCCACTCCACAGGCAAAACTCAACTGGGGTCTGAGCCTTGGGCTTCTAACTTTATCTTCAACTCAGAAGCACTACACTTCTGAAAAGGGGAATAATAGCAAGGCTGAGTACAACCACCGTACTTAGCAAGCCACACCAACGATGCAGACGTGCAAGGGGATACAAGGATGGCTTGAGGCTATTTGCATAAAGGCGGTTGTAAAACATTTTATTGAGCAAAACAGTAAAGCTATTGAGTAATTAAGGTAACATTAAATCTCCACTGATCAACGCTACACCGCGTTGAACAGGCCCAACCAACTCACCTGAACTACAGTGCATTGAGTCGATTTATTAAGGTGAGACTAATCACGGTGAATCTGGTCGATCGCCCATAACCGCGGGCACGGCTATTCGAATAGTTTTACTCTGGCCAGAGGTGCACAACTGTACCCACAAGACACAATCCACCGGCATGTCACCGTGCCCGGCCGGACACGCCACCATGTCGAGTGATTGTGACAAGACCCTTCATATAACCCGCTCTGACCAAGCACACCACACCTCAGGTTTCACCCCCGCCCCCAGCAGGCAGCGGGCAGTCCCCTCTCCTGCCTAGATGAATCCGGAAGCGATAAAGACCGTCGCAGGGCCCGCCCCGCTCCATCATGCCCACCCTTGCCAATACCGGCAGAAACCCTAAAGCGAGAAGCAGCCGATAGAGGTAAATTGATATGCTAAGACTAGATTAACAGAGACATATGATAAATAGGTAGACAATTATATCATCCAAACCGGAGCAATCCAAGAGGTCGAATGTACTGATGCAGCCTTGAACGATGCTGATGTAGATTAGACAATTGCCTGGGCCGACGGAACATTGGACTTACCCTTTAGCCGGAGATTGAACACTGATGCAGCCCCGCGTCAGGTGCCAAGTCCCGCCGGATGATAAAATAAAGTAGAAAAGGTAAAAGGTGGCGATGCGCCGAATTGTATTGATCGTAGCGATAGATTACATAGACCTAGAGTGTACATATTTATACCCATGGGTTGATACAAGTCCTTGTCAGACAAGAAAGAAACTTTCCTAAAGATAAAAGGAAAAGATAAAGTCCTTATAGGACACTAAACACACTTTTCTAAAGATAAAAGGAAACTAACAAACTATTCCTAATTAATATATAACTTGCCATGCCGCATTCTCTTTGAACTCGGTCTTTTCTGGATAAGCTTCCTTTAGTAGATCAATTTCCTTAACCGAATATAGCAAGAATCCGACAACTGACGACATGACAACTCTCATCGGCTAATCTCAGGACTTCGAAGCCGATGCTGACTCTAAGCCGATGACTACTCTGGGCTTACCAAATTTCACTGTTAACAGGCCCGTCCTCCGCCTACTCTTTATTCTAAAAACAAACATAACTATCGTTGGAATTTATTTTTTATTTTCTAAAAGTCCCATCAACCGTCAGCGGCTCTGCAACTATACTACTATACACCCGCCGGCTGCTTCTCCTTTTTATTGTCATTGACATTTTAAAAATTGAATATGATTATCATTGGGGTTTACTTCTTTTTTACTTTCTAGAAGTCCCGGCAATCGCCTTCCTCATTTGCTTCACGGCCTCCTGTTGTCCCTCCTTTTAAACATCATTAGGATTCTATTCGGTGTTTTATTAACAATTTTATATGTTGTATCAACAGCCACTGCTCTACTCCTCTGTAGGCCATTTACTTAAGTTATCTCGTCATGTGTTTTAGATGGTCTTTTCTTTCAATAGTATTTATTTTTATCACAAATTTTAGCTATTTATAAATTGTATTCCTAATTGAAATCTTATTTTTCCTTTTCTAGTTTCATAAATTTTTTTTCAAATTTTAATTAATACGTATTGTGCTCTTTTAATATTTTTATTTTTTATTTTCAATTTCAGTTGTTTCAAAATTATATTCCTACTTGAACTCTTTTTTAATTTTTCTAATTTTGGGTATTATTTTATTTTTTTCTGAATTTTAATTAATCTCATATTGGGTTCTTATATGGATTATTTTTTTAATATTGCTTATTTTTAATTCCGAATTTCAGCTAATTTTAAATTGTATTCCTACATGAACTCTTCTTTTATTTTATTTTTTTGGCTAATTTTGGATTTTATTTTATTTTTATTATGAATTTTAATTAATCTCATATTGGGTTCTTATATGGAAACTTACTTATTTTTAATTTCGAATTTTAGCTATTTTTAAATTGTATTCCTACTTGGACTCTCCTTTTCTTTTCTAATTTTGGATTTTATTTTATTTTTATTTTGAATTTTGATTAATCTCGTATTCGGTTCTTATATGGAAACTTCTTTCAATATTGCTTATTTTTAATTCCGAATTTTAACTATTTTTATATTGTATTTCTACTTGGACTCTCCTTTTCTTTTTTTTCTGTTTCTCTGATTAATGTGGGAATTTTTAGCCCCCACAGCGAACATGGTACCTCCTTTCAAAGTTATTTTAATAATATAATAGATAGATACTCTTCTTTATACATCTTCGGTACTTTGTTTAGTATGAGTAATGTTCTTATTTTATATTTGTGTCATATTGATTGTGTGGGTAGCCTACCAGAGAGGTGCGGGTTTAATGTCTGATTTATCAGTTGCTCTATGTCATGTGCACGGGTGTAGAGTAATATTTAGTAATGTAAGCATGGTGCTTAGATTATTAAATATCATTAATTGGGCATATATATTGCGGGACAGTAGAGGTGGGCTGCTGATGGTGACAACTCAGTACGAGTATTCCTCCACGTTAGTATATATTCTTAAGACAAATTCCTAGGGAGGGTACTCCTTTGTATTTAGCCCCGGTTGGATGGCCATAACAGGTTGTCGTAAGGAACTCGGCAACCCATGGTGGTCTCTCGAAGTACCAGGAGGACACTGTTAGGGGGTATTGGCCACACAATTGTATACTAGCAGATGTAAACTAGGATTTGAGTGTATATCAGAAGTATAGGAATTGAGTGCTTTCTAATTCTTCTTCCACTTAGTTAGAATTACTTTATTATGAGGATTTGATTAGCTTTGTTTCGTGTCACTCTACCCCTATATATTAAACTTAACTCATACTTAGACTTTGACAATTACAAGTAATATATGTATAAAATACGTTAGCAAAGTCCACTCTTATTATCTTCCCTTGGGATTAAAAATACGATACCTTAGAATACTTCCGGGTGAAATGCTACAATGGTATATCCGTGCGCTCGCGGATTACTTCTGTAATCATAAATATACCAGGACTATTTCTGACGCCATTGCTGGGAATGAATATCTCTAGTAATATCGTTAAGAAATACTAACAGTGCACTAGATGCTAGAAAGAAATGGTGACATAGTGATTTATACTGGTTCAGCCCCTCGGGATGAGGTAATACCCTAGTCCAGTTGTTTGGTGCCTAACCCTCCAGGGGTGTTGCCAATACCCAGAGGATGCGATATCCCTTATAATCCGGGTACCTGCCATCCGTCATGATATGACGGAATAGGTTTCTATCTCTCTATTCTCCGCTACTTATAGTAACAGATTATATAGGCCTGGGCCCATATCACGCAAGAGATCCAGCCTCCGAGTACCATGATGGGCTATCCTGGTACGATAACTTCCACACAACCATCGGAGGGAGCAAATATCACGAGTGTATACAGTCCTCAACGACCAAGGGCGTCCGCACGTGGACGCAGTCCTCAACAACGTCCGCATCTGGACGCTATAAGGAAGAGCGTCCTTCCTATTTCTTTAATTTTGAAACTATGTTTACTACTTATTTAATTTTAGAGTTATTAATTATTACAAATTTACAATTAATTTTCTTGTTATCCATCGATACGTAATGGGCAGTGCTTCGAACTTTATTTAAGGAACTGTCTATATGAGATTCATATGATTTTTTAGGCTTCCATCATGCACTGTCTCAACCTTCCCATTTATTTAAGCAAACTCTGGAATGAATTACATTCGATGCACAGCATAACGTGGCTTAGTAGGTAGGGTATGTATAAAGGTAGAGTCTAATATAAGCTCTCTATACTAATTAATATTACTAGAGATTATCTATAATAGTAGAGACAATAAGATTTCTATAAACCATTAATGCACCAAATATTTTTATTATTATGCTTATTTCCTTTTCTCCACCCTCATGCAACAAATTTTCCATTAATAAATGCTAAGAGTCGACTTTGAGCTGTTATCATGCGTAGTAACGATGTTTCCCATTACTTCCCCCTCATTCTTCCACGTCACTAAATTTATTTGAATGACAATGAAGAGAGCCCGTTATTAGATACTACCATTTGTACATGCCCTAAGCTTATTTATCGGGAAGCTTATTTATCGGGAAGACTGTAAGCCTTCTTAGGCTGCGTTCGGAGATAACTCTTTCTCTCCGCACGGAAAACGGAATGATCCATTAACGCGTGATTAATTAAGTATTTGTTAATTTTTTTTCAAAAATGGATTAATTTGATTTTTTTAAGCAACTTTCGTATAGAAATTTTTTGCAAAAAAAACACCGTTTAGCAGTTTGAAAAGCGTGCGCGTGGAAAAAGAAGGAGAAGGGTTGGAAACCCTGAGTAGCAAACACAGCCTTAATTAATGTCAAGTTGTTGTCCTACAATACTCCCTCGGTCCCTCCCACCTATCGTTGACCTTTGTGATTACTCTATGGTAATGGCACACTCCAACACTCCATTATATTATCGGTCTGATGAGGATGAGGTGTTAGCTTGTTCGTCTCACCCATATCATTTCTTGTTAGGGGAGAGAATCAGATGCTAAACTGTGCGCTTCAACGGGGATGATGAACTCCCTTATACGGAAGCTCGCCACTGTGTCGAGCGAGGACATCGATGTGAGACCCTTGGAGAGGAAGATCATCAGAATTAACTCTGATCGCTTGTTGAAGGTGATCCATCATGTGGGGGACGCCCAAGCCATGGAGTGGATGCGGCAAATCCTGGAGGTGGCCTACGACGTGGAGGATTGGATTGATCTGTGCATCCATCTCCATGGGCGCGTTAGAGCAGATCAACTGGAACGGATAGAAGAATTCATTGTCCGGATAGACAACGTGGAAGAACGTCTGAGCAGGTATAATCTTTTATCATATATTGGACGAATTTGAACCCTATTCTGATTATCCTCCTCTGAGCCAATCACCCATCGGTGATAATCCTCACATGCTCTATGCGATGGAGGAAGACTTGATCCATCACTGTGAACGGAAAGTCCGGCTGAGAAGGGACCTTGTCTTGAATTTGATGGATAAGCTGGTGGTGGATTCCGACCAGCAGCTGAAGGTGCTTTTCATTCTCGGGGATAGGGGTATTGGTAAGACTACACTAGCCAGCCAGATTTATCATCGTACAATTGAAGAACGATTTGATTGCCGAGCTTTCGTTTCTGTTGGTCAATATAGCCTGTCAGATCAACCATACTGAACTGTACATCAAATCAGGCGGCGATGAGCACCAAGTCATTGATAACTTCAGGAATTTCCTCAGAAATAAGAGGTAACTGTTTCACGACTTGTTTTCAATCGGGTCAAATTTTCTCCTTTTTTTTTCTGCTTTCTAAAATTTTCTGCAGTTCTAACAATGAAATCTTACCGAAGATTTGGGTTTGTGGGGTGGGTCCGTGGGTGGTGCTGGACTGCTGGTGGTCTGCCGGGGTGGGTGGGGGTGGGGTGAGGGGCGGTTATATGTGAGGGGATCATTTTTTTCTATAACGCAACCCATGTGTAGTATAGCATGGATGTCAGTGAATCTAGTCGAGGGATGGAGAGGTCAAAACGCCTTATAATGTGAAACGGAGAGAGTAATTGATTTTTCTCTAACCCTTAACCCAAAAGCAGCCTTATGTTGATAACCTAAACCAGTCTTAAGGAAGCCTCCAACCTCGCAATCACCGCGTGCTTATCTATCCTATCAGTGCCATCTCGATCATGCAGTCCTCACTGCCACTACCCACGCTACTTCACCAACCCCAAGCCCCCACTTCCCTCTTCAGCCCCTCATGGTCGCCACCATCCTCGATGCCCTAGATGGCCAGCTCCTACCAGCCAACATTCTGGCTCAAGTCGCCACCACCACCACTGGCCAGTACTAGGGCATTCCTCTCACTAGGCGGAGCTTCACACGTGTCGGCAACACCAGGTCCGCACTCTGCAAGAACATGCCACCACGTTGAGACCACACTCCTTCAAGGAGCTCGTCGCAGCGGAAACTGTTGGATTTCAAATCCTCTCTGCGCCATCTACCAGCTCACAACGCCTTCAAGACGACCTTTACTCACCCCAGTCAGAGCTCAACCTGAGCTTCTCCCCGCGCATCACCTCAGCACCAGTTCTACTCCATGGCCTATAAAGCTAGCCCGGTGAAGGGGATGGAGATGCGACACATCCAAGGTACTCCTGCCACGGATGACTTTAATTACTCCACTCGAACCTGTGTGGCATCATGTAAGAGTGCGCCATTGGTGGCGTCGGGCAACGCATTCAAGCGAGCTCGACCGCCCAAATTCAAGTTGATGGGATCTGAATTCAAGGCGACCCTCCCCGCTCCTTGACAACGCCTTCTATGGCCCATGCCCCCAAATGCCCCCCGGCTGATCTCCACGAATCCCCACGCCTTTCGAAACGTGCATCTCATGGAAAATGAGGACAGGATCACTTGGAAACTAATAAATCAGAACAAGTAAATGGCAGCGTTGGCCTACAATGCACAATTCCTATGCTCAAGAAAGTACAATTTCAACGTCATCATCTGAAAACCTTGGGCACCACGAAAATGCAAGATCTTCACATGGTTAATGATTAGACATGCTCTCAACTAAGGGATAGCCAAACAACTCTCTGTCCCACCTATGCCACCGAACACAAGAGACGGCCCTACACCTTCTAGCGGAATGTAGATACATAAGGAGAGTATGGGGGGCATTAGCAGAATGGATAACATGTCATGACCTAAACCCCACCCAGTGGGAATATGCTACAATGGTGTAGGAGTGGTGGGAGGTAACCGCAAACATGAGAGAAATGCCAAAGCAAGTAGTCCGCAGCTTAACATTGCTAGTCAACTGGGAGATTTAGAAGGAAAGAAATCTGAAGACCTTTCAATACAAGGAGTTCTCGATGATTGGACTAATCGCTAAAAACAAGGAGAAGGCCAAAACGTAGGCCCTAGTGGGGCCTAGAATGTTAGCCGATTGGCTGCCTAGTTCCTAGCCAACCTTCTGGTCCTAATTGTACATTCTTTCTTGCTCCTTTTTCTTTCCGTATAATTTCCTCCCGTTCTATCCAATTTTGCTCATCGATTCATTTAAAAAAAACAAAAGTAAGAACAGATCAAAATTGTACTAAAATCTCCAACAAAATCACTCTGCAACTTCACGCCATAATATTTTTTTCTCTATGACACTGTGAAAGAAAGGGGGATTGATAAACTCATATTCAAAATATGTGAAAATGAAATAAAAAAGGATTGTGATTCACATCAAAAGATGCAAGAACCACCCTATGCATTTTTTTTATTTTACTCAAACTGTTGATGTTTCTGCACAATTTGGTGCCTAGCCAGATTTAAAAAGGTTGAATTGGATTTTTATACCAATCCTACCATTTGTCGCATTACAGCTGCATTTTGTATACAACTATAACAATCAACATGCATCGCTATAATTTGAATTCACTACAATTTCAGTGACATGTGATTCAAGTCCACTTAATCTGAATCTACTCAAAGGATAAAAAGTGACCAGAAAGTGCAGAGATGAATAGTGTCCGTTTTATAGTTTATGGATTTTTTACCAAAGTGGCATAATACTTAGATTTTAACAAGTCAGATTGAATTTGATGTAAAATAATTGTTCTGTTCATTCACAAGAATAATTATATATTGTGGTTGTGGGAGAGCAATATAATTATTCCTATACTGATACTTTCATCAATTCATTAGGTACTTCATTGTAATTGATGATATTTGGACTACAACGGCATGGAAGGCTATCAAATGTGCTTTCGCTGACAACAAAAATGGAAGCAGAATAATAACAACGGCGCAAATCGACAAAGTATCCAGATTATCTTACAGGCATCACACTGATTTGGTCGTTATGCTTGGGGGTCTCAGTGAGGAGGAGTAGAGAATATTATTTGACAACATAATATCAGCCAGTCAAAGATATTTGTTGCCTCATTATCAGTTACATATTGGATTTAATGCACATAATGATATGCTAGGATGCACGCCTTTGGCCATAAGGATTGCAGCTGGTCTGTCACTGTCAGCATATCCTCCTCCTTATTCATATACTTCAGCTTTCAAGCAATATCCCCTCTTACAAGGGATAAAAAGGATGCTGCACATCAGTTATGCTTATCTGTCTTTGCCATTGAAGTCTTGCCTTTTGTACTTGAGTCTCTTTCCAGAAAATTGTACCATCTCGAAAGGTCGGTTGATACGGAGGTGGGCAGCTGAAGGTTTTATTGATGAAAGAGATGAAGGTAGCATCTGGGAAACAGGGGAGAGTTATTTTAACGAGCTTACCATCAGGCAATTGATTATGCGGGAGTTTATTGAGGACAAGACTAGCAACAATATTGATCTGGAAGATGGTAGTGGATTCGCAGTGGGCTGCAAAGTTCATGGTCTGGTTCATGATTTCATTGTGTCCTTGTCCAGTCGAGAGAATATGGTCACATCTGATGCAGAGCTAGGATCCATGCAGCGTGGTGTCATTCGGCGTCTAACCATAAAAAACGACTTCAGCAGTATCCCAAAAGACAGCACCCAGCCGTCAGGCTCAGGCACCATGGATGTACAATCCATAAACAGAGCACTTGCTTCCGCTCAAAAAGGGAAAATTAGATCACTTGCTTTTCTCGGGAATTCGAGGCTTCTCTCTGACGTCGTTGGATTCAAGCTTTTGAGGGTGTTGGATCTGGAAGATTGTAAGAGCTTGGGAAACGAGCATGTCCAAAAGATCCGGAGTTTGTTTCTACTGAGATACCTGGGCCTTAGAGGGACCGGTGTCACCGAGCTCCAAGAAGACATTGGAGAACTCCATGAGTTGCAGACCATAGATGTGAGGAGAACCCGCGTGAAACAGTTGCCTGTATCCGTGAATGAGCTAAAGAAATTGGTGTTCCTCCTGGGAGATGGTTTGCAAGCACAGGCTGGTATGACGGCTATGCAAAACCTGGAGGAAGTATCGACGATCGATGTCAGTGAGAGAAGCTCACTCGACATGGTCTCAGAGCTGCTAGTTAAGTCGAACTAGGAAGGTAGCCCGCGCATACGAGCGGGCATGCACCGTACGTAGGATAAATTTGAGAAACTTATAAAGGCGGTATACCAGCGAATTAATATCTGCAATGTTTTAAAATTATGTTTTTTTCCCATGAATTTTCTTCGTTAGAATTGCATGACGAATTTAATTGTTATTTATAAAATTATCTATTGGAGATTAGGATTGGTATCTTACGGTATAAAAAATGGTACCTAAGACATATGACTCTTGAGGTTCCACAGGGAAAGAGAGAAAACTTAAGTTATAAAAGACATTACATATACAACCATATATAATTAATGGCTCTACCCATTTTTTAGAAAAAAATGATAATTAATTTATTATTTGACGGCAAACATTGATTGGTCATAGCTATGGATAATTCCTCATAGGAAATTGTGATTCCATAGTGAAAGAGAAAAAACTTAAGTTATAAAAGACATTACATACACAAACCATATATAATTAATGGCTCTACTGATTTATATAGAAAAATTGGTAATTAATTTATTAAACATAATATATGACCCTCGAGTTTAGACCATTATTTGTAACCATTAGATATGTAGAAGATCTAACATATTGTGTAGAGTCCAACTAAGCAAATTATTCGTCTTCCCTCACCATGGATGGTAGACATGTTAATTCGTGTCTCCGGCAGCATGCTCACATCATCATACTTAGAAGAAAAAAAAGTGCCCTTCATGTATATACATGTAACTACCTCATGCCCCTCTTTTCATTAAAGAAAAAAAGTTCTATACCCATGCATGCACACCGGGATGCACCGGTTAGCCCTCCAATTTGTTCACTCCATGGACGGTATGTTCCTTTGTTCTAGTGATTAGATAATTTAATAAGTACAAATAAGTATTTGAAATCAATTTTTATTAGTAAAATATCCATAAGGACTGATCTGTAGACACCCTCTGTTCTTCTTCTTTTCTTGGTGTATTAGTTGGATTTAAGCAACGTGATATAGGTATTTTGGGATATAAGTTAATGTCCAACTTCCAAAGGATTAAGGTTTCCCAACCCTCAGCACCGAACACAGCATAAGATCGTACATTTATCCTTAAAAGAAGATCATATATTTTATCAGGGCATTGGAATTAAGTAAATAGCATCCACATATATGTCAAGAGATATAATTAAGTTGGTTGTGAGTCAATAGGTCCATTGATGCTATAATTAAGGTTAAGGTTAGCGGTTTATAAGTTATTTTGATTTTATTAAAAAACTAAGTTGGATATTTTGATTTGTAATGAGAACTTTTAGGATTTTTTGCGTATGGATGTGGGTCCAAAATATAATAATTTTATTAGCAATTAAATATGGTTGGTATAGATATTAAACTATTGATTTAATTAAAAAAAACACAATGGTTCAAACAGATCATAAATTGAATATATAATTTAAAATTTACAGCTATTGAAGATTCTTTATTTATTTATAAAACATACCAAGATCAATATGTATGAGATATATTATCTATACCTATATTTGCAAGTGTATGCAATCTTTGAAAGTATGATAAAATTAACTTACTAATATAGAAGATATTATATACCCTTAAGCCTTAACTTAATTACCATCGAAAAAAGGGAGGCGAGCAAGGAAAAAATCACACAGACTCTTATCATGCGTATGGATGGAAGCATGTATATGTGTTGGGCGGACTCGTACCGCCAGATTGATCTTAAGTTTTTTACTAAAGATAAATCTAATGGTATCTGATGGTAAAAAAAATATTAGGTCCATCAGATTAAATAAAACCAATGGTTAGATCTTCTCCTTTTTCCATAGATTTTCTAGGAATTAATTAGAGCGTTAGGTGTCATCTTTGCACTGTTTCTTGGAATCTCACGTGGCAGTTTAGGAGCTTTTTAGGATGTTTAATGGACTTTTATATAATAGATAGATATATCTACGTGGGTTTGTGAAATTTACTCCATAATATATATTTCCATTTTTAATATTTTGTTTTTATTTGGTTGCATTGCAAAGAAAAATAGTATATATTCAAAGTTAGGAAAGCGTTTTTCTTATATATAGATTTGATAGGTTCACCGGTTTAAACCATCTATATACCTAAATCTAATGGTTTTAATGTTTGTTTATATTTGCTTTTCATGCAAAGCACAATGTTCTATGGTAAAATTTAGGGAAGTGTTTCTTTTATATATAGATTAATGGGTTCACCGGTTTAAATAATCGTTAAAATATTTTTTTAGGGACAATGGTTAAAATAGTTGGTTCACCGATCGATTTAAGTGAAAAGCAAAGGTTAGATGTTTTATTATAATATTTTTTCATGTTAAAATTTTCATCTAGAAATAGGAAGAGAAGGATTGGAAGAGGGGAGAAAGCATGGCATTGTATTACGTACATACATACGTACTGAGGAGAGAAGGGGTGGGTTGTGGGATTTTTTTTTATAAAGATAAATATAATAGTTGAAAATAGTGAGTCTAGCAATTTATTAAACAAATAGCGGATCCACCGATTTATTAGAACGCCACGTAGCGGTTTAGAAACGTTTTGTAGGATGCCACATGGTAATTGAGGAGCGTTCGTAGGAAGTTTAATGAACTTTTAGTATATAATAGAAGATTTTTCTTTCTAACTAATAAAGCGTAAAAAATATGAGAAGGAAGAGTTAATCTAGGAAGAGGGTGGTGTAATAATAATAATAATACATGAGGTATATTATTATTATTTTCATATATAGTAGGTAGTTGTATATGAGATATAAGTACGTACGCTGGGTGGGGTTAGGTTTGGGTGGTTAACTTTTTCTATAAGATAAATTTAATGGTTGTAAATAATGGGTCCATCAAATATAATGAAATCAACGGTTATATATTGGAGTGGCATGTGGCGGCTTAAGAGCGTTTCTAGGATGCCACGTGGCGACTTAGGAGTGTTCATAGAAAGTTTTATGGACTTTTAGTTAATATACAGATCTAATAACGACGTAAAATAATGTGTCCATCGATTCTAGTGAAAACCAATGGTTGGACGTTTCTCTAATTTAAGAGTGGCACACAACGGTTAGAAACATTTATATGATATTTAATGGATTTTAACGCGTTTGATGTCTATTTGTGGGGGTATTCTTTTCTATAAAGATAGGTTCAATTTTAATTAGGATTGGAAAAAGAAAAGAAAGGAACAAACGAAAAAAAAAAGTACTAAACAGATGCACGTACTGCACAGAGGTGGTGGGGCCGGTGGGAGGTTTTTGGTTTTTAAAATAGATCTAACGATGTAAAATAATGGGTCCACCGATTTAAATGAAAATCGATGGTCAGATTTCTCTATTATATTAGAGTGCCACGTGGCAATATGAGAGCGTTTTGAGGGAGCCACGTGGCAGCTTGAGAGCGTTTATAGGGAGTTTAATGGACTTTTAGTATATAATAGATATAATAGATAAAGATGGGCTGAGGAAGCTGGGATTACAGTGGGGTCCAGGAGATGGTGACAGTAAAACATCCTAAAGTTATTATGGAAGTAGTATTGAAACTTTCATTGACAACATCATCCTCGGCAGAGGTACACTTAAGTACCTATTCCTTTTTGATTGTCCAATTGCTCTACTTGAAATACTGCTGTTGCGGTGGGGAGGATATAAAACACCTGAGTTGAGAATTGTCTTGCGTGGTAACCTCATAAGGGTACCAGGAGAATTTGTCGGGATGAGAGAACTCACCCACCTGCATATCAGCGTTTTTGAGGTGAACGAAAGTGATTTCGAAGTCCTCGGAAGAATGCCTAGTCTTATCGTTCTCAATTTGACTTCGGCGTCTTCCGCACAAAGGATCTGCCACATAGACATATATGATGATGGATTTCGGAGTCTAGAGGTGTTCTGGTTCAGGTGTTTGGATGACGGGTGGCTCAGGCTACGGTTCTGGGGTGCAGCCATGCCGCGCCTCCGAAGGCTCAGGCTTTACTTGAGGGCGAATGGACTTCGGCTTCACGGCAACTATTTCGGAATGCGCGACTTCCGTTCCCTCACGCGAGTCCATGTCACCGTCGACTGTCGTGACGCGACTGTTGTGGATGTGGAGGAAGCCGAGGCTGCCATCACATCACTAGTGAAGGATAACCCCAACGAGCCCGTACTGGAGCTCACCAGAAAACTGGATTTTTCACATTTTGGTCCTTTTGAAAAACTTATTTCGCAAATAGATCCCTACAAAAACTTATCCCAAAAATGGTCCTTTTTAGGGCGCCAGAGTGGCTGGCGCCGTCGTTCAACAGGACGGCGCCAGCCTCTTTGGCGCCGTCCCACCGCCGACGTGGCGGGGCGATGCTGAGGTGGCTAGGGGGAGTGCGCCAGAGTGGCTGGCGCCCCCCCCCCCCCCGAAATTTTTTATTTTTGTTTTATTTGTTTGATATTTTTTTCACGCTTAGGGACACACAAGAACCAACCATAGAAAAATTGAACTCAAATGGACGTAATATGTGACATGTAGAATTTTTTCTCTCCTCTCTTCTCTCCGAACTAGTGCAGAGGAGAGAGATGTGCAACTTTTTAATTTTTATTTTATTTTTTTGATATTTTTTTCACACTTAGGAACTCACAGGAACCAACCACGTAAAAAATAAACTCAAACGGACGAAATATGAAATATGTGGCATGTGGAATTTTCCAAAGCTCCACCGAAAAACTTCTCTCCTCGAAAACACAATCTTGCAAGCGGAATTTGGAGGTTTTAATATCGCCGAACCCGGCAAAGCGGGGGAGAATCGGATGTAACATTTTCTGTAGATGTCCGTGCATATATTATTTGCCTGATTCCGAGTCCGTATGAGAAAGTTACGCCTATTTTAATAGATGGCATATTTTGTCCGTTTCGGTAGAGTTTTGGAAAATTCTACATGTCACATATTTTGTCCGTTTGAGTTTATTTTTTATACGGTTAGTTCCTATGTTCTCCTAAGTGTGAAAAAAATATCAAAAAAATGAAATAAAAATAAAAAAATTGCATCTCTATGTACTGTTTAACTTATATATGTTATTTCATGTGGTTATATTTTGAATTAGATTAAGTAATTTCATATAGTGGTAGAGTGCATTATGTTTAGCATGCTGATCAAAGGGTTTTACTAAAGGAGTTATGGTCTAATTTTAGTGAAGGTGCAAAGTAGACTAAGTGGTATGCTAGATA